CTCTCACGTAGAAAACGAAGAGAGGTTGTCTCTGCTGCTTTCAGGGCTCCCTTGGTGCGGACCGGAGGTTTGACCCTAAGGTCCTTTCTCTGTTATTAAACAATTTTTTAAAACAACTTAAGCAATCACAATTCTTGTACAATTTTGCAAAACATATTATTCATTTAGAAACATACATATAATACTTCCCAGATAAATGATATTCCAAATGCATGTATTTTCCAGACTAAAACATTTCCTTTGGTGACTGAGGGATTTCAGATGGGCTTTCAAATGGGCTCGCACGCTTTGCGTCCTCACCCATTTTAATCAAAGAATCTCCACTTTTTCTCCTCAACACAATCAGCACTCAAGTAAAACATTTTTGGACAGATACTAGTGATATCTTAATAAAATAGTTATCATAATGTAAAAGGATTTGAAATTTGACCTGATATCACACTGTTGGTTCCCTCATAAATGGAATGACCCATGTGCATGCAGTCTGGTGTGTCCTTTAAATGTTCAAACGCTCAATTAAGGACACGCTACAAGACTCAAATTAAAAAATGTTTTACACAATTGTGTTTTTGTCTTTGAATATATCAGTGGAAAAAGTTGCATGGTTTGAAATTTTATTTGTTGCATCTTCTAAGTAGTTACAAGTTATGATCTGCATGCATTTGTTTATAGCAATGTTTTAGTAATGATGTCTAATAGGAACTCACTGCTATAGTTCAGGGCTTCCCCTTGATGAGAATGTGAAAATGAATACTCAAAATGTAAATATATACATGTATGTAGCAGTCTGCAAATTGCACAAGCTCATCTGTTGTCATGTACAAAAGAAACAAGAAGGAAAAAAATCTTACTCAAGAAAGAGCAAAACCTAGACTTTTTGCCTCGGAAAGCTCCTTCCCTAAAGTTTTTGCAGTTGGTGACTGTATTTTGCTCACAAAACCAGAAGCATGAATTCATGTCAAAACTGTAGGAAAGCCTGGGAACACCTTCAAATTAGCAGCACAAATCTGTTCCAGGACCCTCTAATAATATCAAGATGTTTCATGAGCAAGTCACATCTTATAGAAAACTTGGTTTTCTTTAATGTATTCAAAGAAATGATAATAATTTTGAATACATGTCAGTGTTGTAGTTGAGACCTCTTAACCACTTGCTGCTGGGTGGTTTGAAAAATGCAGTGCACGCAAACAGGACCTTTTCAAGATTTTCAGTTTTCAAAATTTTTCAAAAATTCACCATTTCAATAAATGGACGTTTGCATCCACACAGATGACTGTCTGGTGGCTATTCTAATCTTCAGCACGGACAAAATCTATTGACACCCGAGTATTTCAGCCAGGCCTACAGCCTTATAAAAAGAGCCCAGATGGTGCGGTGTTACGTAATTTTCTTTTGTTCACGAAGCTGGCACAGTGCGCTGCTGAGGTCTTTTCAATAGGGGCCAGATTAGCATGCAGCGGTACTATGTGGCTCATTGCTGCAGTGTTGAAGCACTTTTTTCCCTGGTGGTAATCCACTTGCACTAATTGCCCCAGACTGTGGTATACTGTTTTAAAACAAGGCCTGATTATCTCCACTATTGAGAGTGAAAAAATGTTGGTAATGCCCAGCAGCCTTGTCTTCTGTTACAAGTACGGTCTTTGTTGCAAGGCCCAGTTCCCTTTGTCCGATTTTGGAGACCCTGGCCACGCATATAAAGAATACATGTCCGGTACCGGAAACCTGGCAGAAAGTGGTTAAGACCATATCAAGACCACCACAAGACCTGTGTGAATTCAAGTCACCAGCTACTCAAATGACTTGCAACTAAATCATATCTTTATCTCTTATCTTTATCCACCCTTTTACTTATGTCAGGTCTTGTGATTGTCTCAATTACATTGAAGCATGTCTGTCTACCTGTGAATCAATCTTAGATTTGAACCTTTTTTTTTTTGCAATACATGTGCAGATCTTATTGTATGCTGAAAAGTATTTTCATACCCTATAAAATTTATGTAAAATTAGATTATAAGTTACCTGCCATTATTCAACTTATTTTTTTAATAGTTCTTTAAGACTCAACCTGGTCAGTCTGAAACATTTCTAAACTTTGACACAGCTGATGTAGACAAGATCTTTCAGACACTACGCATCCTAGCACTAGACATTAGCAAGAGACCGACTACAAGGATCCAGTTGCTGAAAGTGATAGAACTGAGAGCTAGAAGCTGGGAAATGGAGAACAGAATGCCCCAGCATTTAGACAAGGTAAATAATCATGAAATTGTTCGTACATATAAGGCAAATAATCATGAAATTGTTCATGCTTAACCACCAGTGCTTGTGCTCATTATGTTATGCACTTTTGTTATCCCTGCTCACCGTGCAGTGTACAGCTCAGTGCAGCCATTTTTCAGGCACAACTTTGCTAATCAACTGCCATACTCCGTGAACTTTGCCCCTACATGGCACTCATTTATACTCTTGGGTAAAGAGACATACATGTACATGTAAGGCCACAATATATTGTGGTAGGTCTCACCATGATTCCCTGCTTCAGCTTCTCTAGGGCTGATCTAGGGCCCAAGAAGCAGGGATTTAATTGGGGATCAACTTTCCTCTAATATGTAGTTGCCGGTTATGAATTCATGCAGGAATTAGAACATAAGAAGGGACATGGAACATTATTTATGTGATGCAAAATCGGTCTTCTAATTTATTACTTCTTTAAAGATTTTAAAGATCAATCACTTCAGTAATTCACAATTTCAATAAAATTTTGTTCTATTTAAAACAATCTGGTGAAAAATCTAGGTGAAAACTAAATAAAGATTGCTACTGACGTCAAAAGCATGAATTGAAGTCCTCCTTATATCAGGCAAACTGAAAATGAAAGTCTTCAGGAGCATCCAATAAAAGGCTGTTCTGATGACGTCACACAAGGCTCTGCAATTATACGACTGTCATTGTTTCGGGGTGAATGCCAGTGTGTGTGAGTGATGTGCTTGCTCGCACTTAACTGTGAATTAAAAGAAGTGGGACAGTGAGAGTGACTTTGAATTTTCTATTGAGAGTGTTGACCAACACTGGATCCTATGATAAAGTTGAACCATCCCAGTTTGAACCGGAGTAAGGAATTTCAGGCAGATGGCCGTGGTCATTTGCCAAGATTGACATCTAACATACTTTACCCATTTTTTCTCAGTTCTTGTGCTGTGAAACCCCAATTACAGCAGCAAGCTCTTGGGCAATGAGAGCCGTATTATGACATCATCAAACTGCTAGATTTGTTTGCCGCCCTCTTCACATTTTTTTCTTCTTTCAGTATTCTCGCAGTGGAACTGAACTCCCAAAATGACAATTTTTTTTCATAAACACAAAAAGCTGCTGCCGCATTAGTTGTCACATGTGTAACAGTGACCAATTCCCTGTTAAATAATTTTTTTATGTCAAAGCAATGTGATTGATCTTTAATAAGGGAATTAATACGTGCCGGGCCCTCTTAAAAGACCACACTCAGGAGAATGGATGCGACTGATGCCCAAGCCTCAGTTGAGGGAATTATCAACATTCAGTCTCTTGAGCCAGTCTTAATTGGTAAGACCGGCCAAGCACATTTATTCCAATTTATAAATAACTTTTTTGTCAGACAGTCAAAAGAAGACAATATATGATGGGTTTCCAACGATTTTGATCTAGAATTTTAGTTTCGTTTTATGGTATATTCCTTGTGCAAGAATCTCCTTATATGGACTTGGCATACGTGTGGCAAGCTGCGTGCACACAGACTCTTGACTAATCTGAATCTATTCAACTGTCTCGTATTCAGGTGCCAGCATGTGATTAGTAGTAGGTATAGGAGAGTCAATTTAGCGTAAGGGCGCAATGCCTCATCGACATTGACAAAAGTCTGCTGGCTTGCGCGCTCTTGCCTCATGCGTTCATTTAAAAAGTCTAATACATGTAGGTGCATGCGATTTTTTCCCAGTTTTGTTTTGCTTGTGACAATTGTTCTAGAGCTATATCGTGACGCTTTTGCTCTTCGTCTACTCTGTCTTTACTCAAGCTGCTAAATAAAAAATTGGAGCCCGTGAATGCCAATGCATTGACTATGGCTCCTCCTACCATCATTAAAGCGCTTGCCATTTCAAAATAATACACATTTTTACATATTATAAAATATGGATCAAATTAAACAAAAGCTGATAGAAATTCAAACTGACCGACGGGAGCAAGTTGCGGAGAAGCTTATCGAAATTCAAACCGATCAGACAACTATCGAGGGTATTTTGGGCGACACGTGTGCCGACTTGGATCACCAAGGGGACGTGCTTTTAGGATCCAAAACGTGCTTGCCGTAATGAGACACGAAACATTTCACAAGCGCGATTTATTGGATAAATACGAAGACATGTTTTTTGCAGCGGGTGTATCACTGATTGGGTTTTCTTTCTTATTTGTAATTTGGTAGTCAAAATATAAATTAGATAAATTGTAAAATAGCCATTATAAAACAGTCTATTATAAAGGACTACAAGTCAATACACGAAAAATTGAACCCAAGCCGCAGGTACCACGAAATTGGCTTTCAAGTTGGATCTAAATGGGGCATCGGACGATAATAGAACCGTGTACAACAACTTGGTGCGTAATTTAGTCTCCAAACTAAACGTCAGCTTAGAGGGTAATAAAATTGTCAGTTATTGCGACGCAGACATATTTCACAATTTTAAGGATAATTGGCTGCCCCTAACACAGACCAAAAATATGGCTTACTTTAGGTTTGAAAGAGAGACCATGGCAAAGTTGCATTTGGGGGCAGCCGATAAAAATGAAGCTCTAAACGATAAGGCCATTGCAGAGGCTTATAAAAATCGTTACGCAATTGCGCTAGACATACTGCTATTGACGGATCACAGGCCGTTTTATCCCTCGGGGTTCAAAGAACCTCCGAATTGCCAACTGACATTCAACAAACACAACAAAGTGGTAAAAAGTACAGACACTACCACCAAGTACAGCATCTCGCACTTGACCCTCGAGTATGAGGTAGTCACCAATCGCGATTTGACAAGTTTGAGGAAGAAACATAAGGGTCCGGTCTATTACTTATTTAACAGGATTCACTCAAGGAAGAAACAGACCGTAAACAAATCAGACATGCTGTGGAATATCAGCATTGATCAAAAGATTAAAAGCTTCGCAAGGCGTCTTGATTCTATTTAAAGATCCCACAGTTCGAAACCCGCTAAAATTTTACAATCCGCACATTACAAAAACAAGCGTCACGGTCGAAGGTAAGCCCAATCAACTGTATTCGCAAAGATTATTAGAATATGAACATTAGAATGAAATTAATAAATATTTTGGAGACTCGGAGACAGAGTTGTGTTGAGCGGTCGTCAAAGATTTAAATTTAACTGGCGTCGACATGGCAAGTTATCTAAAAGACAAATATGGGCTTTGGCTCGATTTCAGGAGCTCTGACGATAATTCTGCACACGGATTGGGTAGGCCCTTAGGTGGAGGTGGTGACATTTCGATTAAAATGGAAAGAACGGCTGAGACGGCGGGCCCGTTAATGATGTACATGTTTTTTTGTAATGGACGCGCAGTTGACGGTTGAAGACGGTAATTTTAAAAGTTTGATGTATTAAATTGGGCTTAAAGTAAAAGATTGAGTAGGAACATGTATAAATCACCTCACTACGCCTTAATAGTAGGCAAGACGGGTAGTGGGAAAACAAAACGGGTGCTTGATTTATTGGAAAAGGATTATAAATTTGCATTTGAAGCTGTAGTAATAATTTGCCCAACGTTGTTCAAAAACAAGGCTTATTTGGATCGGTTATGGATATACACCGATGATAATGTTCACTTGTGTGATATAGACAAGGAGAAGTAGTCCTTGGCGAAGCGTTACAGCTTTACCAAAACGTTTTTGACGGGGTAAATACACTGTTTGTCGTGGACGATTGCTCAGCCAATCAATAGTAACACGTGTGTGTTAACTAAAATGGCTTTCAGTGGCAGACACTTTAATCACAGCTGTTGGTTGTTGGACCAAAAGTACAACTCAGTGTTGAAAGACTATCGCAAAAATACAGCCTGGATTGCAATGTTTTACACAAAGGATCGAAATTCATTTGATCAATGTTTGGATGAGAATGACGTAGTGCCTGATAAAGAGCATGATCAGTTGAAACGGCATTTTCGTGATGTCAAATTTAGCAAGCTGGTGTTAATCACAGAGTCTCCAGTTTCATATTTGCTTCCATAAAAATGAGAAAATGTATTTATGTAATATTAAAATTAAAATGGAAAACAAAATTCGTAGTAGATGTCACAAATTAAAAGATTTGAATTCTTTTAAAGTTAAAGACACCGGTGAAATATGTACAGGTTGTATCGAATGTAATGAATTAGCTAAAATATATACTGATCATTGTAAGTGCCCCCATGGTAAACAAAAAGGTTGATGCGTCCAATGTGATGGAGTCTTGATTTGTAAACATGGCAAAGAAAGAAACAAATGCACATTTGTTTAACTCACAATTAGTGAATGGATTAGCGACTGCCGTAGATGCGACAAGAAATATGATAGATTTGATCCCGACCATTTTATTGATTAAGATTTTTGTCGCGGATTAATAGAAAATTATAAGTACTGCTTTTATGACGATTGTAAGGTAAAGATTCAATTTTGAAATAATCAATCTGACCAATGCACCATAGAGCGATTAGACCATAAAATTGGCCACATTAAATCAAATTGCGTACTCTCTGTCTGAGTTGTAATTTGTAATCTGACAAACTAAAATTAGCTGGTGAGCTTGAATAAGCCACTTATTATTTGCTTAAAATTTGTTTTTTAAATGCTATAGTTTAACTGCATAAGTTCAACTATAGCATTTTTAAATTTTGTTTTAATTAAATAACAGCAATGTTACAATTAATTCAAATTGTTGTCGAGCTTGTTATCACCATTAATTTGACCTACTACACTTGGGAATGTTTATGGATTAAGGAATCAATTTTGAAATTGTTTTATATAAATGGATGACATTAAAAGTATCATCACCGACTCAAAAGTCGATACAAAAAGCCCTGAGTTTAAGCCTAACATAAAAGATTGATTATGTTCAGTCATAGCTTCCGGTGAGTCTACAAAATATTTGGGAAAGGAATACTCTGTAAAAGACATTGAGTCACTTGCTTCTGTAGAACAAGCAAAATTGTTTAACTTGTACGAAGTAAAATTCGGCAAA